GTACTGACAGTCTCCGGGTTGTAGTTGACCATGACCGTCTTGTGGCCCTGTTCACGAAGGGTACGGATAGCCCGCACAGAACACCAATCGAACTCGACGGACGAACCAATACGGTAAACACCAGATCCGAGAACCATGATACCCTTGTCCTCAAAGTTGACATCGTGCTCAGAGGCGTTGTATGTGAGGTACAAGTAGTTGGTGACCGAGGGGAACTCAGCAGCAACCGTGTCGATCTGCTTGACAATGGGGATGATACCAGACTCGACACGCAGACGTCTGATAGCCAGCTCGTTGGAGCTGAGGAACTTGGCAAGCTGACGATCCGAGAAACCAAGCTGCTTGGCCTGGCGGATAAGGGGCCTGGGCACACTTGTGGCATTGTATTGGGTCATGAGCTTGCTGAAGTCGCTAAGACCCTTAAGTCTGCTCAGGAACCACTTGTCGATCTGGGTAAGCTTCCAGATGTCGTCGACACTGTAGCCAGTCGCCATGGCGTTGGCAATGGCAAACAGACGCTGGTCAGAGGGAGTCTGCAGTTCACCCTTGATGGACATGAGGGCATTGGTCTCGTTGAATCCAAGGTTGTGGAAGTCGACGGAGCGGATAGCCTTCTGAATAGCTTCCTCGAAAGTACGTCCGATAGCCATGACCTCACCAACACTCTTCATGGAGGAACCGAGCTGGGTGGAGACACGGGTGAACTTCTTGAGATCCCAACGGGGAATCTTCACGACACAGTAGTCAAGGGAAGGCTCGAAGCAAGCGCAAGTGACCTTGGTGACCGAGTTCTTGATCTCGTTCAAGGGGATACCCAGACCAAGCTTGGCAGCGATGAAGGCAAGAGGGTAACCAGTGGCTTTGGAAGCAAGAGCAGAGGATCTGGACAAACGAGCATTGACCTCGATAATGCAGTACTCCTTGGAGAAGGGGTTCAGCGCATACTGAATGTTACACTCTCCGACAACACCAAGGTGGCGAATGACGTTGACGGCAGTTGTACGCAGCATGTTGTAGTCTTCATCAGAAAGAGTCTGGGAAGGAGCCACAACGATAGAGTCACCGGTATGGATACCGAGAGGGTCAAAGTTCTCCATGTTACAGACAGTGATGCAGTTGTCCTGGGCATCACGGACGACTTCGTACTCGATTTCCTTCCATCCCTTCATACTGCGCTCAATCAGCACCTGAGGACTGGCAGCGAAAGCCTTAAGGCAGAGCTCCCTCAGCTCATCCATGTTATCGGCGAAACCACTGCCAAGACCTCCAAGGGCATAGGCAGCACGGACGATAACGGGGAAGCCGATGCTTTCAACGACACCCATGGCCTCTTCCAAGTTGGAGGCAGATGCGGACTTGGCACACTTCTCATTGATGGAGTCCATGCTGCGAGCGAACAGCTCACGATCTTCGGTGGTGATGATAGTATCGATAGGGGTACCCAGGACCTTGACACCGAGGGACTCGAACTCATCCTTGAGCTGGATACCGACCTGCAGAGCGGTCTGGCCACCGAAGGTACAGTAGATGGCATCAGGGCGTTCGTGCTTGATCACCTTGCGAACAAAGTCGGCGTTCACAGGGAGGAAGTAGACCTTGTCAGCCAGACCCTTGGAGGTCTGGATAGTGGCAATGTTAGGGTTGATCAAGACGGTGTAGATGCCTTCCTCCTTCAAAGCCTTGATGGCCTGACTACCGGAGTAGTCAAACTCACCAGCCTGGCCAATGCTCAGACCACCACTACCCAAGATCAGGACCTTCTTCACGGAAACGCGAGGAGCGAGTCTGATGTTCTCCTCCTTGACGCCACCAGGGAAAGAGACAGGCTTCTGAAGAGCGTCCGAGGAAGCCATGGTGTCCTTGATGCTGTTGATGAAGACGTCGAACAGGTATTCGGTATCTCTGGGACCAGGTGTGCTTTCAGGGTGGAACTGGACACTGAAGAAGGGCCGGCTGACGTGACGGATACCCTCGTTACTACCGTCGTTGGCGTTAACGAAGAGCTCCTCCCAGCCCTCGGGGAGGCTGTTGGAGTCCACGGCATAACCGTGGTTTTGGGAAGTGATGTGGCACTTTCCGCTGAGCATGCTAGTGCAGGGAATGTTGTGACCGCGGTTACCGAACTTCATCTTCAAAGTCTGGGCGCCGACGGAGCGAGCAATTAGCTGATGACCCAAGCAAATACCGAAGACGGGAGTCCGGGCCTCCTTCAAGGTCTTGCTGAGGTTGTTGACGGTGGTGGCAAGGGTAGCCGGGTCACCGGGACCGTTCGAGACGAACAGACCGTCATAGTCCTTTCCAGCAAGCGTAGGGAAATCATAATCCCAAGGAACGACGAGAACCTCAACACCGCGGGCAAGCAAGCAGCGCAGCTGGTTGAACTTCAGACCCACGTCCAAGCAGAGGACACGCACCGGGCGACCGGAGGGGTGTTTGAGGGCGACATTCTCGGGAGGCGAGAAAAGTTTGGGTTCCTTGATCGACACTGTCATAAACAAGTCAGAAATGATCATTCTCGTCTGAAATGTGAGTCGGGTGCCTACCTTCGGCGACCAGGTTCTTCTTGTTGGGGTCAACCCATTCGATCTGTTCGAAGAAAGGCTTCCAGCTATCCTTCTCCGTAGGGATAACAGTGGCGTCGCTGACAGTCTCAGACTTCTGGAGCAGCAGACGACCCAGCATGCTACCCTTTTGACGGATGCGCTTGGTGAGAGCACGGGTATCGACACCATGGACGGCAGGAACACCTTGCTCCTTCAGCCACTGGCCAAGGGAGGATTGAGCAAGGAAGTGGGAGTATTCCTCTCCGGCGTAAGTAGCAACGACCAGACCCGCGATGTGAATCTGAGTGGACTCGAAGTACTTGGGAAGAGTCTTCAACAACTCATCCATGGTCTCCCGGGAGGGGACACCATAGTTACCGACGAGGGGGAAGGTAACGACGAGGATTTGGCCCCGATACGAGGGATCCGTGATGGACTCTGGGTATCCCACCATACCGGTTTGGAAGACCAATTCACCGGCGATACTCTTCTCGGCACCAAAGCTGTAGCCTTGGTAGACGGTGCCATCCTCAAGCTCGACGGCGACCATCCTCCCATTGCTGCCCCGGTAGGGAGCCGAAGCGGGAGGGATCACGGCCCCATTGTGAGCTTCCATCGGGGGAAGCGGCTGCAATTCCTTGCTGATCTGGTTGTAGGCCACTGCGCCTCCAGAGAGAGGGGAGGAGGGGAGAGCAGCCTCCTCGTGACCAGCGGACTGCGGCATTATGGTGGTGACTGTGTATGTGGGGGGAGGGGAAAAAGGTCCTCTCGGGGACTGTATGACTGGGGTGTATTCTCTCTACCGTAGCATCAGCAGCCTCCAAGACCCTTTTGAGAAAGATGCAAGAGGGGAGGGAGTAGGGTGATTCTGCTGCTTCTGCACGGGAGGAGGAAGAATATAGGAAAGAGAGAGGAGAGGAGGAGAAAGAAGAATTCTCAAGAATAAAATTTTGTGTACGGCGGGCTTGATGGAGCTCTCTCATTGGGCTGTTGAACTCACCGATCCGGGGATCATGGGCCTTTCTGCTGGCCCTGACCGCCTCCGAAGAAAATTTTTCTCGACATTTTTTGGGGATTTTGAGGGGGTTGAGCACTGGGAGCCTTCGTTTGCTTTCTTTCCATTGCTAATTATGGAGTCTAAGCAATTCCTGTCCGCAATCCGGAGCCAGTCAAATCCCATCCCCCTCCTTCCCTTTCTTTCCCTTCCCCGAGTTCCAATTGCTGCATTGACTCATCCGTCACAGCGTGAATGGCATATTCTCCTTACATCTAATTTACTACTGATATTTCAAATTGAGGGACTGATTTTGATCAGTATGACATTCATCCCCATCTTACAACTCATCCTTAGTACGGAGTACATCCCCTGACGAGGATTAGACGGGACAGAGCCACCAATGTGTAACCGAGTGAGGTCATCGCAAGCAGAAAGCTCTTTTCTAGGTTAGTCTCGTATTAGGATTGCAGTTCGGTGGAGGGGGTTGCAGAGAGCGGTTCTGCCGCACACACAGACCTTCCTGCCTGTTAGTGCCACCAGCCCCAAAAAAAACTGCCGAGATGGCCCGTCTCCGTCACAGTCAATTGGTTCTTTGGGGGACAGTTCGCCACACGGATCGACCACGCTTGCAGCCTGTGGCCACTGCAGGCGGTGAGCGCTATCCTACCCGGTTTGCCTGCCTTGACTTTTGGTTCTGGATCCAATCCGATGCCTGGCTTCACTTCCCTCCAATCATCGGCCCGATTGGCGCTTTCAGCAAACTCAATGCCAACCCGTTATCGGAAAGTGTACTTTTTTCGGCCTTTCGGTGGGATGCCGTTGGTTGAGTACCTTCTGGAAATAATATTTAGCATCATATAGCTTATATCCTTTTTCCGCTATATAGATTCCTGTACCTGCTTGAGCTTCTTTGTTCTATTTCACCCTATAACCCTCGCATTTGCGGCCATTCGTTAACCCCTAAATGGCGTTCTTGACCCCCTTGCTCTAATGGACAGGTTGACAAGCTACCAGTGCCTATCTAATATGTAAAATATCACATCATTGTTGTGTCATTTTCTTGCCATGTGATCTTGGTCGATATTCAGATGGTTTTTGAAGTAGCATACTTACCTTGTAATTCACACAAGTATATTGAGCAAGGGGAAATATATTGGCTGCTTGCGCCCCGCTCTACTTTAGTCGCCTATTTGCCTCGAACTGGTGTCTGAAAGTTCGAAGAGAATCCTTCACTTTGTGCCAGGTAATATAGTACTACATATTCATACTACTGTGTACCAAGTAATTCCCAGCTGATTATTGTGAGTCCAGTGCTGCAATATCAACGCAATATGCAGCACTCGCATTAGTCCAACCGGTGCTGTTGTGGGCGCAATTATTCTCCGGGAGGGTAGCGTTGACGTACCTGCATCCCCAGCGTTCTGTAGATTTGTTCGGAATCTGCTTCATTCCCTCTGTGCCTAGTAGAATACCGAAGCATACACCATCTGCATCATGAGAAATTCCATCGGGTATTGGTCCAGTATATCAGGCACGAGTTCAAGCCAATCCGGTTTGGATCTGCAGGCGATTGTCGCATTGCAAAATTCCCAGTATTCCGGATACCAACCAGCGCCCTCCCAGTCCAGTAAAGTAATCTTATATTCCGGATTTCCATCACGAACCCCGAGCTTCTCGACCATAATGTTCTTCGGCTGAAGGTCACCGTTGGTAAAAACAGGACGGTGACCGCTCAAAGTCCGATCAATCATAGGTCCCAACAATCGAATGTACTGTTCTGATTCAGTCTGGCGGAGTCTCTCGATGATGGCAAAATTAAAGTCTTCCTGGTTTGTGAAGGGGCCGGACACCTTTGCATCATATTTCGAAGTCCAGAATACCCCATCAAGGTAGCGCTGGCGGTTCACCATCCCGAAGTACCCAGGCGACGGTATACTCCGTAGCTTCGATATCGCATTCTTGATCAGATTGCATATTGTGGCCTTTTCAGTCGAATCCAGAGATGGCAATAACTCTTCAAGGGTGTCACCAGGGATGTGATCCATGATGATATAGTTTTTTTAGAGTCTGGGTCCTTAAAGGATGCATGGACCTTTGGAACTGGAACTTGGTGCTCTTCGAGAAACTTCATGGTCTCAGCCTCAACGAGAGGTACACCGTAGCCCGATTTCACCGCGAAACGCTCTCCCACACGGAAGACTTGGTCGTATGCATCGGACATGCTCAGGCGTTCTGTAGCTGCCTGAATCTCGGACATAGTTGGTAAGCGAACAGTCTCAGAAGCCGATTCCCCTAACATCGTGAACTAGATACTAGTATACAGTGCTGCAAAATCGGATCTATGGGGCACCGAAACAGGTGAAAGTAAGTAAGTAGGTGAAAGCGGGCGGGTTGAAGTGGGGTGCGTAAAGCAGTGGGCGCTTTGTTTATCACAAGTGGGTGATGGACAAGCTGAATAGGGAGACGGAGACAGACAATTCGATCTTATTCGCTGAGATCATTACTCAGCAAAGCCCAACTCTCGCTCACACCAGCGGTTCGCCGCGCACAATCTGATGTGTCGTCTGGGAGGACAACAGGAACCGATATCAATGACAGCCTTTCTTTTCGAAGATCTTGTAAGCCTCTATACACTCGCTAGTCAACTCTATTGGACATTGAACAGCTCCTTGTGCTTAACACAGGTTATGCTTGTTGTTCCTAGATATTCCAGCGTGTCAACTGTAGCGTCTTCGATATGTAGATGTTGCGATTCCACAAGAGGCTTCCATATATAGCAACATAAGTCGATTATTAAAATGTTTTCTAAAAGCATAAAGAATGTTCGGAACATGATAAGTATCACCTGGAAGGTGGATTGTCAGGTCTGTAAGTGAATTATCTGCGCTAGTCCACCAGTGAAACTAATAGTAGTAATGTATCATCGTCGAAGATATATTAGTGAACACTTCCGCTACCTATGCATGGCACTGGCATTTAATGTGCCAGAATCCTCAATCTGCCTTGTTACTATGGGTCTTTCCTCCAAGAGGCTAGGGTTCTTCATATATCTTTCAAAACAAGCAAAAACAGACTACTTTGGTAAACGCTTCGCAGAATAATCTGAATCCAATCTCCGAACCTAGCACCTTGATACCGTCCTCACTCATTCCACGTCTTGCCACGGTTATCGTAGGGAACTCCTAATGCCACCCAGCAGAAAGAGTGCCAGCGGCACCAGCTTTTCGAATGCTCGACAATAGCATAGACAGTGGTAGCGCCCGCACCGGCATCCCCAATAAACGTGCTATTCAGGACAGTCCCGCAAAGACATCTGCAATGGCCGCCCACAAATCGGACGGCCAGAAGCACCGCCATCAAAAGCTCATTTATCATTTTCTTCTTCCGAACCTCCAGGGACAGTGAATGCACGATGTCATTGTCAGTGCCTATCCGGGAGCCCAGCGCAATCTCAATGTTATCCGTGGTGATGGTGTTGGCCAGGCTCTGGATGTTGGGAAGTGCCTGCATCATGATGTCATTGGGATTGGCGACGGTGAGGGCGCTATCCGCGGCCTTGGGAGCAAAATGTAGGTCCAGCCGAAGACTGCGCAGCCGTTTTTGAACACCTGCGGGCGTGCAGTTTCCCTAGCGTTCTTGCTTTCTTGGTATTATCAATGTCTGATGAAAGCCGTAATTGGCGGATAGGCTACTGTAGAAGCTCCCGGCATCAATAGGATCTTAGTAGACGGTAAAAGTGCCCGTGTCAATCCCTATCTTTTCCCCAGTGGTTTCGGCTGTTCTGGCAGTACATGCACTGGAATTGGGCGTCAGCGCTCATGAATGCAGCCAGCTAACCTGGGAAAATATGTCAAGGCAAAGGGTTAAAGAGATTTGATCTATCTAGATCTCAAGAAGATGGGTTGAATGGTTGGAAGAGGTGGTGGTCAGAGACCACGCAGGAAGAAGAGGCGAAGGATCAGCTGACAGCTGCCTGGCTGCAGTGGATGTCTCAACATAATATCCTTGATGTACTTGGCGTAGTCAGTGAGCTTGTCGCCGTAGGTGCTGGTGATCCCGAATACTAGTTGGCCAGGGCCTGCTACAGCACGATTAACAGCCCATCGAGCGTGTAGATATTTTACACCGGGCTCCAGGGTGTCGACAACCACAACCAACGCGTCCAGCATCAAAAAACCTCGATTAGAGTCGTAGCTGGCAGTCTCGGTGCATGCGAGATCCGTCCTAATCGCCCGTTGGGCACTGGCAATCTCGTCCGAGTTGTCGACACGTGGGATGGGAGCAATAACCTCGCAGCCAGGTAAGGTTACACGGCCTACTATCGCCCGATTGCTCCATGGTATATATTAATATTTAACCAAGTGTGTCCTAGGGAGTCGGAGATGGATTCGAAACGGGGAAAGAGCAAGCACAAGGCTTAGATATCCAAGGCTAACCTGTTACTCACTAGTGGGTTGTGGAGGAAATTGACACTATTTAGACCAGGGTCACAAGGCTCATGTCTCCTGCGAGCGAGACCACAACGCACTGATTTTCCCAGCGTAGAACCCTTCAGTAATGGCGACTCTTACCAATGACGGGGAGGGTCCGCTTCAAGTGCCTGGGTTCGGCTCCATTCCCTTGGATTTTCAGCTCCCGCCAGAGGCTCGCTTTGCGCATGGGTTGTTGGACTACCGCCACACGCCTCGGTTGACCAAGCGGGAGATGGCGATGCTTCGTCTCATGCAACAGGTCACGGAGAAACCTGGATGGGATGCCGCCGTACTGGATTCAAATGAGATGCAGATCGCGCAATGGTACCGCGAGGCCACAGAAGGACCGGACGGTCACTTGATCAGCACCGCTGCATGGGAATGGTGCCTGGCGGAACTGCGCGATAAAGCCAGAACGTGGCGAGAAACAGGCCGCCTCCTGGTCTTTGACAGTTCCTCGGCTGTGTGTCATGCCGATGTGTGTCTGTCAGATTAGGGGTCCCTGTCCCTGTCTTTGAAAGACGGGGTCCAAGCGGAGATAGACCGACTGGTGGCCCCACACCCGCAGCCCAGACCCTACATTCAATATAATCGCTTAGTGGATCCATTTTTGTATCCTCTTATCTACAATCAGTCTCGAGTCCTGGTTCATGAGGGACGGACCTCCCTTGACAATTATCTCTGGGGTTCGGCCGAAGAACCCGCTGGAGAGCTACCCCCTCATCCCTTGGGTCTTCCCCAAGACCGGCCCCATCATTTGGATCGCAGGCCTGGTCAGGGAGGACCGGAGAGCTGCTGGTGGAACCGCTTCCAATGGCTTCCTTGTGAGGTGAAGTTCAATAACACTGACCCCCTGGATGTTCGCATTACTTCATACGTTAATAACCTTCACCCGGGAAAACACCAGAAACTGTATAGGTACCTTGAGCTCCTCATAGCAAGCTCCGTTTCTTCCTGGAATGAGATCTTATTTTACGGCAATACCCGTGGCTGTCGGCCACCACGTATCCTGACATATGGATGCGAGGTTCATAACTATAAAGAAGAGCCCAAATTGTTCGATGCTCTGCATTATGGGCCCCGCTGGCAGCTACAGTGTGACACCTACGAAGAGTGGGAAATACTGCGCAACACAGCTCGTGAGTACATTGAAGGCCCTGAACCACTCAAATGGAAGCGGGTGGAGCCCTTGCCTGACAAGCCCGCCAATTTGATGGATCTGCTCTCTCCCGATCAATGGGATGTTCCTACCCACGTTTGTCAGGTCGCTAAATTCAAACGCACTCGTCGAGCTTGGTTCAATCACCCAGAACCCGGTGTCTCGTTCTCGTACCAACAGTGGAAGCGGGGTGATTTTACAGGACGTGCAATCCACGCGCAGGGAATCAGCAAATACCCGGATCCGCTACACCATGACCGCAAGCTTAGTCAATTAGAGAAGCAATTTCAAGATAAGGGTCTCCAGGTTGTAGTGGAAATTACCCGCATCGAAATACACCCCGACAATCCCATCTATAACAGGGAGAGGCATTTCCACACCGAGGGGCTCCGCAACGACCGGATAGCAGCCACCAGTCTGTATGTTGTGGAGTGCAAGAATCTCACCCAAGTCCGCTTGGCGTTTGAGCACGAAGACAAAATCCACGCCTCAGAGCTCCAGTGTCAGGTGCCTAAAGCACTTGTCGCAGTTTATGATGTAAATTTCCCGGAGCGGTACGAGGAGGAGGCCCCTTGGGCACTGCACACTTTCGGGTCGGTCCCGCTCACAGAGGGCCATCTTCTCAGCTGGCCCAATACCTATCGATCAAAGCTGGAGTCCTTCCGCTCAGTGGACCCCAGACAGCCGGGGAATCTAACCCTGATCAAGCTTCGACTCGTCGATCCCCATTATCGTACCTGTTCAACGCAGAATGTTCCTCCGCAGCAACATATGTGGTGGGCTGCTGCAGCCCGACAGGCAGCTCGGCTCGATCAACACCTACCTCTGGAGCTGGTGTGGTCTGTAATGGATCAAGTGAAAGACTGGCCAATGTCCGCAGAAGAGGCCGAAGAGCTACGCATAAAATTGCTACTTGAGCATGAACGCGTGCGGCGGGTCATTGATTCGTGCGTGGGACACCATCTCGCTTACGATGGAGAGAGATCACGATATTTAAGCAATCTAGTGTCCGAGGCCGGTTATAAGTCCCCTTAGACGCTGCTGTAGGGCCATACTTAGTGTCTCTGAAATATAGAAATACGCGTCAAACGCCTGCATATCTAGCGCCGGAATTGTTTCGATTTGTCCAAGCGCACCAGACGGCGTTCAGACGGCGCCAACTATAGCGCTTACCACTAACTTCCCATTTGCGAACTAGCATTGGAAAACTTAACTTAATAAGGTAAAAAGGTCCCTTTGCTAGAACAGAAAGTCATTCTACATCAAATGCCAGCGACATACCACAGATACTGGGAGTGCGTTCCAAGCAATCTCAGCTCATACAACAACGATAACTTTCCAAATCAATCTAATGTACCGCAACCGTATGGTATTTATTCCCCATTGTGGCAAGATGGACCGACTCCAAAATTGATTATAAGAGATATTATCAATTTCTTCAGATACTCCATACACTCCACTAAAGTTGAAGTCTCAAACTACTACTCAGAGCTAGGAGCGGAGACAAACACCCAATTGTAGCAACCGAACCCAGCAACAAGAATCTCACTTTTCTTAGTGTAGTCCGAGCCGCGAAAGTCGAGTAGATAAAGCTTGTCCCTAGGATATACCTATCCACCTTTTCCCGAACTTTTGGACAATTCGCAGATACGGAACGGATCGATTTACCGAACGAAAGATAGGGGTAATCGGATCCATCGGAGCCTAAGTGTTGGCCTAGGGGTGGAGGAAGTAAGTACTAGTTGTATCCACCCTATTCAAGAGTTGATTTGTCGAGTACGTAACTGTCAACGTCTTCCATGAAAGTGGAGAGTGGATAATTATCGGAGAAGGTCAAGTGCGATTGGGGTTGTTGTAGGGGGTTTGTGGCGGCGTGGACAAGTAAATTGGCGGCTATAAGAGACATGAAGAACATATGCAAGGTAAAGGTTGGATACATTGTGCCTTGAGTTGATATTCAATGGCATGAATGCACTGTATAAGAGAGGACGGTGTATCTGTCGCGATTATTAGTAGGATGTTATTGTCAATAGTCGATCATTATATCTACGACTTTCTCATACACGACGTCATGTTAAGCCGTAGACTATATGTCTACTCAGAAGATAGCTTGATGACGCCTATATCGAAGTGTAAATCATACTATATGTGACTGTGATCGGCTATTTTGAGTTTTGAGATAATTATTTCAAAAGCTATTTGTTTAGGTATGTTTGTATAACTCATTGGCGTAACTTTATCAGGATAATTGACTTGGGAAGTATATCATGAGTAGGCTTGTAACAATACTATCTTGCTTTCGAAGGTTCCGTGGTTAGGGACATAGTTTTACATAGATCTGAAGCATGACGTTGTCTGGAATACAATGGTTATTATGCTCTGTAGCACAATCATCCCACAGATTCTGGGCAGATAAATGTATCGCGAAAGAACTAGTAATCAGTCTCGTCGGAGTTGACTGCTTATCAATCTATCCGGTCATTTGCACCGGTAATTCATTTATGCAAGCTTCTTAGAGTGTCACAATGTATGCTGCGTAGCGCTCAAAGTGTGTCTCTGATTGCTGGTCAAAAATGCGAATTCCCTGTTTGCGTATTCTTGCTTTTTGTGCATGATTCAATGTTCTTGATTATTTGCGGATTGTATCTAGTATCAGGTGCAGTTGTAGCAAGTCATATGCATAGTCAATAAAGAGTGTCAAAGGGCATAGAGTAAGGGATAAAGAACAAACTTCCGTTTATTTTAGTGAAGAATACAGTGAAAAAGAGGATTCTTAACCTATTAGTACAAGTCTAAGCGAGGTATAATATCTACATACAAAGATATACTTATGGAAAAGCTAAGATTATTTAATTTAAGTATGTGTGATCCGTAAAAGTAGATATTCTATAGTGGTTACGTTCCTTAAAAACATAGTAATAAAAACCAGATGATCTGAAAAATTCAGCCCAGTCAAGTGGTATCATCCCTTGCGCAATGCATTGATAGACATTCTTTATCACTGTAAATGGTAAGGTTGTTTGCCACCCGCACCGTCACATACTTGTTCCGATAAAGAAAAGTGGCGGGGTTCCCGGAGATCTCCATCTTATGATCAGTGGGAGTTCTTTTAGTACATACATCGGAAAAAAAAGTACGATATTTTTTTCACCATGAGCTAGACTAACGGGTCGGTTAGCGGTCTGGCCACATTGTGCCGTTCCAATGATCTGAAGCACACGCCAATGACAATTCAGGTGCGGAATACTTATCGGACGCTAGCTCTCGAGCTCGTCTGATTCCCTGCGATCGCCGCCTCCGCTGCTGCACTCACTGCAGGCGCATGTGGGCTGCGTTAATTTTGGGAGCAAATCGTTTCAACGCTTCGGCAGCTCTCCCTGCTTATCTCCCCCCGTTGAAAATACCTTGTGAATCACGCGAACCTGCCAGGTTTCTTGCCCACCTTGGGATTAACTGCTCCAACAAATCCCTCCTCACTTTTAAGGCCTTCTCTTTTCTCAGTTCCGAGTAACGCATTGTTGTTTTTTCTGCCTTTTCTGCCTTGGTTTTTGGCGCGTCCCCAACATGCAGTGACGGCAATCTTTAAACCCGCCCATTGTTGCTGAGACTTCAGGGGACGATTTCCAAAATGCTTGCCTCCCTTTTGCGCCCCAAGAAAAGACGAGTCTATGCAGAGCGGTCGCCATTCTCATCGCCCTACACAACCCGCGATTCCCAATGGCCTTTTCCACAGGAAAATGCACATCAACGAGGCAATGAGCCAGGCTATGAAGAGATCAACGGATACAGCGGCACCCATGAGGGGCCTGGCGCAAGATCTGAAGATGATGCCGACGAAGAGGATGACGAACCCGTTGAGTCCACGCCTCTCCTTCCAATATTTTCGGCGTCGCATCTAGGTACAGATACTCGCCCTATCATTCAAAATCCCCTATTCATGTTCGCATGCTGATTTTTTAGACACTCTGCCGGTTTATGACATCACCCATGCCATCCGTCCTCTCATTGTTGCTCGATGCGAAACCACCCTGACCTGGGACCAATTGCGCTCGCCACAAATCTCTCAATTCTTGGTCAAACCGATTCAGCAGAAAATTCGAACGTTGCATTTCTCACGGGCTACACTTTATGCGCTGATAACGAACTGTCTCCAGTTTTCGAAGGAGGTCCATCTGAATCCCGGCAACAGCGGCGTGAGCCAAACCAGGGCCATGGTGAGCGAGCTTCTCGCTATCAAGTTGCTGAGAGAATATTCGACGCGGGAATTGATTGACGCGCTTTCCTATGAATTCTATCCTCTCAACGGTCAGACGCCCACGGCAACGGTAAGCTCCGATCGGGCACCTGGCTGGTATTCTACGCCAGGAAGCAAACGTCCTGCTATCGCTCGTGTTTCTTGTCTCGAAGTGGCCATCCGCGCTCAGGCGAAACGGTTCTTGTCACATCCCCTGGTGGTACAACAACTCGAAGCGATATGGGCTGGCACGATTGTGTTCCATTCCGCATCTGATTACCTCCATCGCTCGCCCACCCCAGTCAGGAACAATGGGAGGTTGCAATATGGTACCGCTCCTGATCCTTCTCCCCTTGGCACGTCGCATCGTCAGCCACAGCCCAACGTATCTGGACTTCGACGTTCGGTCACGATTTACAACCCAAAGGATGCCTCATTGTTCAAACTTTCACGATTACGTGTGCCTCGATACAGACAGTTCCTGTCAACTTTGTCATTCGCGGTTTTACTGGGATTGTTTCTGGCTGTACTAAACCAACGTCGCCTCGAGATTACTCCGCTGGAGCTTATCTTCTGGCTTTGGAGCGCTGGCTTTATGCTCGACGAGATTGTCGGGTTCAACGAGCAAGGTTTTAGCTTGTATCTCATGAGCTTCTGGAATCTCTTTGATCTCGGTATTCTTTTCCTCCTTTTCTGCTACTATTGCATGCGACTTTATGGTGTCATCCTGCCCTACACTCGCAATCATATTGTGGCAGATCAAGCGTATGACATCTTGGCCGCGAATGCAGTCCTTCTCTTCCCGCGACTTTTCTCGGTTCTTGACCACTACCGCTACTTTTCTCAGCTGCTTATCGCATTTAGAATCATGGCTTCTGACCTTATCGCGGTCTTCCTCTTAATCATTATTGCCTGCAGCGGGTTTTTCGTGGCATTCACACAGGCGTTTGGCAACAGCGATGACCATTCTCCTGGGGCCGTCGCGTATGCTTTGTTCCAGATGCTCATGGGGTTTACTCCAACAGCATGGAGTCTTTGGGACGAATATAATATGCTGGGCAAACTCATCTTGACAGTGTTCCTGTTCATTTGTCACTTTGTCGTCGTCACCATCCTCATCACCGTTTTGACGAATTCCTTCATGAGTATTGTGCAGAATGCCAATCAGGAGCACCAGTTTCTCTTCGCCGTCAACACAATTTCTATGGTCAAGTCGGACGCACTTTTCTCTTACGTCGCCCCGACCAATATTCTTGCTTGGCTGATCACCCCACTCCGTTACTTCGTGCCATTCCGCGAATTTGTTCGGATTAACCGCACGATCATCAAGATTACTCACTTACCCATCCTATTTACGATCTGTTTTTACGAGAAAGCGATATTGAGTTCGCAGGTAATTGATTCAACCGACTTGATTGAGTCCACGTCTCGAGGTGATTCATCCGACCGCTTTCGAGCCCGGCGTCGATTTAGGGCTTTCAGCTCGCAGATTCGACCCTTCGTCCGAGAACCATCAGTTGCCACATACCAGAAAGACCGTGCTCTGGACGAGGTGTTTCGACGGCCCTTTCAAGACGCAACAGCTAGACGTCCTGCCGCCGCCCTTGATCGCAGAGGAAGCCACAGCGTCGTCAACAAGTGGATGCAGACTATGGGATCGGGCTCTGTCAACCCCCCTGATGAGCAAGACTCAGAGGAGGTCGAGCGGCTCGAGAGATTTCCCCGTGGTCGGACGGGCTTTCGCCGGACGTTTACCAGGAGCTTGCGCGACTTTACCGAAACGAATCACTCCGCTACATCCGACGCTGAACCTCCCCATGTAGCATCCTCGCCTGCGACACCACGTAATGGGAGAACTTTCCTGACTCCAATGCGAAGCAGGCAATTGTCGCGAGTTACGGGTATGGAAGGTGATGATGAACTCACAAGCGATGACAATGGCGGATGGGCTGGAGAACAGAGATCAGGTCCACTGGATTCCGAGGACGATACGCCCAAGACCACCAGACAAAGTCCAATTCATACGCCCCCCAAGCACTTCAGCTCTCGGCCATCAACTGCCCGACTCAAATCTCGCAAGACCAGTCCCGCTCGGCGGATCAAGAACCACACGCGGAATTACTCGGGCGCCACTATGCTGTACAACCCGATACCTTCAGATAACGATCACGAAGCGGCCAAAGCTTCACCTGGCCCTGTCCGGCCAAGAGCAGAGACTCCTGATCCAGCAGGCGGGGCTGTCCTGTCTACTTCGGCAGATCAGTGGACGCTGAAAAGACATATTGCGAATGGTAGCAGGCTTAGAAACGTGACCATGACCCGATCTGATCCGATGTCTGTTCCGGATCAGGGTGGCTTTTCTGTACCCGATTCACACTTCCAGCGGCGCCGGCAAGCGTCCATCCTTGATGGCTTAGGCTCAGACCTTGGGGACAACAAGGCGATAGCGAACGGTTTCCTAGGCGGTGTTCCTTCAAGCCTTACTACACAAATAGCCTACGCGACAGGTAACATCCGACGTCCCGACAGCCCAAGTAGTCAGGATATGCTCAGCAAGCTTGTACTGGCACGGATGAACAATATCGAAGAAGGCTTCCGTGAGGTGATCAAGGAAGTGAAAGACCTCCGACGTGGAGGAACTAGCCGGAGCGAAAGCCGGGTTGATGAACAACGAGGCGTCCTGCGTGAGAAGAAAAAGCGTCGCCCAGATAAAAAGGAGCCAAATAAGGGTCTCCAAGGATCTCGGAAGAGCAAGACGAGCAGCGAAGGGCAGTGGTCGGACGAGCTGGCATTCGAGAAACGCAGAGATGAAGCCAGTGGGGATGAAAAACTTTAAGTTTGGTGCAGCTATTTGGGCGTTTGAAGCTCTCAAATTACCATCTTCCTGTATCTGATTGATTTACATGTACAATATTATTGGGCTGGCTGTCTCACGACTTTCAATGATTCACGAAATATGAGCATCTGATACCCTTCTGCTACCTTTTGGTCACGGGCTTGTCTTTCCTTTCGTTGGTCACATACATGTGTTATCAGTGGTGGGAATGTGACCTGGATCACACATTCTGTTACTGATTCAGAAGAATGAAGCGTCCCTAGAACCACGTCGGGATGGTCGTTTAATACTTAGTATGTGTATTCCTACAGACTGTACACTTCATCGTGGCTCTTCTGCGCCTCTGCTCCCCTGAACTATTCCGAATTACATTCTAATATTTATCTCTATAATTGTACACAAATAATACCCATGCTTAATGGTTACCATCGGCGTTGAGGAAGCCGGGGCTGGACATATGCAAGGGTCTTCCCGGTTTGCAGTCACTTCTGTCAGTGAATACCGAGTGACTGCAACGTGAATCTCCGCCACAGTCAGTGGAAGTTCACAAACACGCGAAATTATTGTTCCAGTTTTCCTTGCTACACTTTCTCGCGTTCTTCTCACCCCTTCTTCATCTTTCGAGTACACCTCTGATGCGCAGTCACTGATTTCGGTGCTACTTCCAGGCAGCGGCGAAACGGTAAGGCTGACTGAGGCTGTGAGAGCTCGTGTCATACTAGTGATCATAGAGTACCCACGTCACTACCTCATTTGCAGAAAGGCGAACTCGGTGTCCTCTTTACAGTCTTTCTTCCGTTTTACCATTACACTTCTCTGTTCTATTGTCCGTCTTCATCAGAAGGTGGGTGATCTCAACGAGTTAAAGTGTTGAAATGGGTAGTACTGAAACTACTTTAGATTCAGACCGATCACGAGATGGCATATTACCAGGAACAGGAAACCGATGAAGACGCGAGTTACGACTCGAACATCAAGGAAGATGAGAACATTTCCAAACTTGATGTTCTCCGATTTGAAGGTGCCGATACAATCGTCTTCATAGACCCTCCATCATACGTGCCAAACTGGTCATTGCAACCACAGTTTGAAGCGTCCATTCCCCATTATGTTCACAGCCACACCCTCTTGGACACAAAGTCTCCCTATTTTACGAGACTTTTTGATCCGAGAAGACAAGCTCGCATGATCAAGCGTTCTGAATTTCTGGGAAATCTACCAGATGGCATTAAATACGTTATTAACCTCACTCCCCCCTCAACGGACGACGAGGCAGTAGCGTTCACCACTGAACTATCTTGTCCACTAGGCATACGGACTTGGAATCGTGAATCAAGCCGTTTGAATTTACCTGTGGACTGTGTTGGCGGTGAAGACGAAGGAATCGAAACTGAGGGTGGTAGTAAGAAATCGGGTTTTCCCTCTGAGTATTCAGATTCTCGTCACCGCACCGGTATCGTGCATATCCTGCAAGCTCTAGGAGGTGTCAACCCGTGCCTTGATACGCCTTGCAAGCTTTGGACCTTCTTTGCACTGGCCAAGGTGTTTGGTATTGCCACCATAGGGCACATCAAAATCCATATTTTGACCTGGCTGTATGACGGTACAAATGCCTGCTTTATTGAACTTCATCCGGAAATTACCTACCGAATTGCCCGCGGAATTGAATGCGACTATCTTTGCCAGGATTCTTTCACTGTCCTGGTTGGAGAAGAAGCTTTGTTACGTCTGGCCCATGCGGGCAAACCTCCCAAACTCCAATGGCCAGAGGTGACTTTCCACGGCCGACATCGCGAGCCTTTGGATGATGAAGATCGCCAGCGGATCGAGTATGCGAGCCAGAGCCTTGTGGACCGTATCCTCGAAGAATTTATACAATTGACGGGCTCACGAATGGACTGGCTCCTGCAGCTGCCGTCCACAATAATGATCTCTCGCCACATTGATGACTGTGCCGAACACTGTTCATTGGCATCAGAATTACTATCCTCGCTCAAACTATATGTGCGGGGCCACATCGTGGCCAATACGACCAGATCTGTTGACACTTGGTCCTCGAGAACAAACCATTACATTGATCCCTGCAACTACCCAGCGCATGAATACACCGATGCTTACGATAACATGCGTTATGTAGAACGCATCATCAGCAAGACGTTCTGGAGAACAGTCAGGGGTGAGGAGTATAGCGACTGTCTCCGAAAGCCCGATGAGAAATTCCGAGATATGACAATCGCCGACTTGGGCGGACATCTCCACCTTTTTCAGACTGAAAACGATGCAAAGCTCTCATATGTTTCCTTGGAAGACATTCTGCTGGCAGTCAACCAGTTCAATAACCACGTTGACTCTGATAGCCCAAAGTTTGTCCAGCGTGAGTACGGTGGTGGGGACATTTTCATAGAGAAACGAGGTGGTATTCTTCCAGATCTAGATTCTGACATTGAGACCGATGAGATACCTGAAGAAACTGCTACCAAAAGCTCCATGGCATCCGTCTTCGATCCAATCGACTTCCTCCAGCAGGTGCGCACACGTTTGGGCGATCTCACCGAGCGCATGGCAAATGGTTGCAGGCAAGGAGCGCATTTCAAAATCACCGACACCATCACCTGTCTTACCAACAATGAGTTTAGATACCTTCCGCTGTGGGCGGGGGGTGATGATGATGGATCCGGCGGCGTGTTCACAGATCAAGGCATACCTGATCTCGAGACGGGTGGATTCACCAGGCCAGGACCTGCAATCCACACAGGAAGTACTGCCCCTTCGACCACTTCCTACTCCAACATCGCCCCAAGCGAGGGTCAAAGTACGGTCCAGCGTGCGTCCCACAAGGCCACGGGAAGCCAGTGGGCGGACGTCGTCAGCTTAGTCTCCTCAGAGGGGCACGCTATAGAAGATGAAAGCCACGGACCAACCCCGGATGAGAAGCCCGAAGACACAGAAGAGACTTTCATAGACATTGACACATCAGCGGACGACTTTGAGGACTACTTCGATACTGATAGCGAGGATAATGACACGGTGATTGTGGGCACACCGAGGCAGAGTGAGCCGATTGAGGAGACTTCGGAATTGCTGGAACATATGTCTCTCGAGATGGAAGCTGGCCCGAAGTGATTCGTTGATATGGATGGAATTTGACTTGTACGTGTATTTATCGCCATGAATACATAAAACTAGTAAAGTACCAATCAATGAATGAGTAGTTTTGATTCGACATCCACAGTAGTACACGTATATATCACGTGACAGAATCCGGGGAGTTAACCGTCTGGGCGGCGACGTCACGGAGCGGTGATCTTATCGCCAAATAATCCCTCGCATTAATCCCTCCTCCACAGTCCAAGGCAGGGGCCCGGACTCGCCCAGATCGATCTTTCTGCTTTTCGCCGTCTTGTATAGCAATCCGAGTACATAATCGCGACATCTAACCACCATGGCCGCCTCCTCATCGAAGCCATCGAGCTTCCTGCTCTAGTACGTTACCCAACCAGCAGCTGAACAGCAGCACACCGCGATATCTACTTCACTCCCCAACCTACCCTCCCTCATTAGTATCACCCCCAACTGACCACTCACCCAAATACACAGCTCCTGCATCGCCCACCGCACAACCATCCTCGCCGAACACTCCTCCCCCGGCACATCCTCGAGCGCCGCCTCGTCCCTCGCTTCCATCATCCTCCCCAAGATCAGCCACGACCAACCGCAAAAGCTCACCTACACCCACGAGCGCCTCTTCGTGCACTACATCGCCGACTCACCCACAACACCCAGCACCTCCGATGACCCCCGCCAGGGCGAACCCAACTCCTACGCGCCCCTCAGCTACATCGTCGTCGCAACCGCCGAACAAGGCCGCCGCATTCCCTTCGCTTTCCTCCTCGAAATCAAGCGCAAGTTCCTCACCACCTACTCGCCCTCCAGCACGGACTTCTCTGCTCTCCCGGCTTACGGCTGCGCCGCGTTCAACAATGAGCTCCGCTCGCTGCTGCAGACGTACAATACGGCCCCGCCGGCGGATTCGCTGGCTTCGGCAAAGCGGGAGATCGATAGCGTGAGGAACATCATGACGGAGAATATCGAACGGGTGTTGGAGAGAGGTGAACGGATTGACTTATTGGTGGATAAGACGGATCGGTTGGGCGGCAGTGCGCACGATTTTCGCATTAGGAGTCGTGGGTTGAGGAGACGGATGTGGTGGAAGAATGTTAAGTTGATGGTTTTGTTGGCTATTGTTGTCGTGTTCTTGGTGTGGTTGTTTGTGGGAATGGGGTGTGGATTGCCTGCTTGGGGGAGGTGTGTTGGGCATAGTCAGTAAGTAGGTACTTGGTGGATATTGGTGATGATGTATCTTATGTGTCTTCGTGGTGATTATGAGGTGGAGGTTCGGTTTACGAGTCTGGTTTTCGGCCTAATTGAGCGGGACATATGACCTTTTTTTTTTTTTTTTTTTCTTTCTGTTTGTTTGTATGATATGATGACTGCGGCTGGTATTCATATTCTTAGGTATTTATATTTACTTCTGGGGTTGTATCCCAATACAATAACGTCTAGCGTGTCTTTTGATTGAGAAGTGGTATGGACGTTGGTGTAAAGTACCTGTAGTCTTAACAAGACCCTTTACTATCTGGAGACATTTTAAAGACCATACACGTTCAAGGAACCTTGTGTGACGCCTCAGTGAACAAGTCTAACCCTCAACATTCAATAGCAGTAGCTAGTACTCAACTGGCACACCTAAGTCACCGCCGCAAAGCCATCCACTATGCGAATTGCATTTGTCCAGTGTCAAGCTCACAACAGTATCAGATAAAGACTACAAAACACCTGACAAGTTTCAATCGAAGATAATAATATTCAATCAATCATATAAAAAAGACTATATATCTACAAACAGCATGTATCTCACTCTCAAACCCGCAGCGTCCTTGCGAGAAGCTCAGTGCGGGTCTGCAAGCGAGGCAGAACGCGATCTAGACTTTTGTCTAGATGTAAATGCATATCTGCAATTCCTTCTGCGCCAGCCGTATACCTCTTCAACCATGGTAGTGGATTGATGAGGAGATAATCTGGCGCGTTGAGATAGAAACTAGGTTGGTTGAAGTCGGTGTGATCGATATCAACAAGACACTTGTAAAACAGAGAGTCCAAGATGTCTTCCCAAGTCAGGATCTTGCTATAATGTGCCTGAAGCCCTTGGTATATGAGTAGCCAATGCTGTCCTCTCTGCAACGAAACATGAATTGCGAGGGTGAAGCATTGGCGATGTTCAAGATTCCTGGCTCAGCATTGCGAAGAACACAGAGATGACTGTGTTGGCAGTCAACTCAGACGACCGCGTCTGTTGGTTGTGGTATAAGAAACATCTTGTCTGGCTTACAGCAGGAGAGGTTGGAAGTTGCAGTATAAATAGTCGAGCTCGAAAAGTGTGCGTCACGTGACTCTCCGCTTAATGCTGATCCTGCTTCCGATTGGTCAGTGGGAGACAGCTCCTGTCGCGACTCACCGCCCGCGTGAGGCGGTGGGGAACTTACATCGTCGAGCCTCTTTCATGCGCGCCGCTAAACCCTCTTCCGATGCGGTCGCGTCACGCCGACCATTATGCTTGATTTCTTTGTAAAGTTCTATGCTGGTTGATGCGGTCACAGTGGGACCCAGCTCGGAATACATTTCTTGAACAGTTTCACATTTCTTTCCTGTTTTGTATGTCGGAAATGATGCTGGCAGCGAAGAAGTGGCACCATACATGATAACCATCTGCCTCACCAGCTGCGCAAGATGTCAAGCGAAGACTTGCAGTGGCTGGAAAGTTACCTGAGCCATGGATACGACCCAGAAGCCCGAGGCGTCGATGATCATGCGGCATTCTATCAGTCGAATCCCTACTTTGCTGTATCTCCTTCATCGTCTTATACAGCTGCCCACAATGGCTCTGCCGGGTCTCATGGATATCAGTATTCAAACGAGAGGGATGTGAGGCCTGACTCATTCCCAGAAAACCAACATCACCCTCCCAATCCTCGGTCTCACCAAACGCAGTATATCCAAGCTTCCACTGTGGCATCACCCCCAGGCTCGCATACTGAAAGCTCGTCCCGTTTCGCTGCTCCTTTTGGTCCGAAGTCGCTGCCCTCCAAATCCCTGAGGCCCCCTCCTTCGCAGGGATATAAACGTGCGCATCAGTTGCCAAAGCCCGTGCAGACACACAGGACTGGCCTTTCAGCAGGGTATAAGCCGCCCCCTCCTCGAATGTCTCAACCGGCGCCTCAGTCCAATCCAGCGCCCCCTCCAGGGTACCAGCCGGCTTCATATTCAGCGCCACATTCGGCCCCTCAAGCACCGTCTAGACCGACCCCACCTCAGATGTCAGGTTCAGTACCCTCGAATCTACCTCCTTCCCAATCGGCTAGTACCGTATCTACAAGCCAACCTCATGGCCAACCCTCGAATGCTGTCATCTCGCCCCTGCTACTGCAGACGTCAAATACGGCCCCACGATTACTGCCACCCACACCAGCGCAAGCTCCCAATTCACATCCTTCACCTATGCCACCGACGCAATTTACTACACATCCTTCACATTCACCTATGAAAGCCCCTCAACCAAGTTCGCACGCCACCCCAACAACCTCAGCTCAGACATCCCACTCGGCTCCTCCAGTGACCGTCCCGACTACCCAGCCGTCGACTTCAGCGCCTCCGCCCAATCCACCTGCGCAGATGACGAATACGACCTTGCAAGCTACAATGCAGCAAACAAATACTGCTGGGAATGGTAGTGAGCCTGGTCATGATGCAAAGAGACGTCGGATAGCGCCCCCATCCACCTCTAAACGGTCATTCGGGCGACCCTCATTGCCCAGCTACGCAACAGCGCCTGCTGAGGATCGTCCGGCTGCAGGGCTCTCTAACTACAATTATTCACCACAGACAGGAGGCACCGGCTCCCCTGCACCCAAAAACCATTTGAAATCGCGTGCCGACATTGTTAAGCCGCTACGTGAGGAGGATGCCGTTGATAAGGTGATCTATGACCCGAAGACGATCGCCAGAGATGTTCTCATTGCAGCCGGCCGCCACCCAACAGAGGAGACACTGAACCATCACCTTCTTCGTCTGCGCGATGTTTTCGTTCATGTGGACACTTCGTCGGACCTGTCGACCTTTCGCTGGGATCTAGTCGACGCGCTGGAACCACGTGACCCAGAACCGCCAAAGTCGCAGCCGCGGCCGCGGCCGCGTCCCGCGCCTTCACTGCCTGTCCCTCCGAGCACCACCAACACCACTCTTCCCCCTCCACCACAAGCTCGGCAACCGCCACCTCTTCCCCAGTCACAGCCGGCACGACAATATCCGTCTTCGCAGCCCCTGCATGGTCAGCCGGTGTCGGGTCAGCACCTTGGTCTCTTCAAGGCTGCCCCTCAGCCACACGGCCCATCTGCCTCGGCAGCGCCCCCGCTACCACAAACGCGGCCGCAACCACCGTCGACCCCTCAGTCCCCATCTCAATCAATTGTACCTATCACAACGACGCGAGTGACCCCGATGACGGGCAAAAGAAGACCGGGTCGTCCCCCGGGCAGCACGAACAAGGCGCGGCAGCAGCCCCTGCAGCCTCCCATGTCGTCGGCAGTTCCGTACCCGGTATTTGCATGTAATTGGACGAGCTGCCAGGCCCAGATGCACAATCTGGATGCACTGAAGAAACATATCTTCAAGGTGCACGTGTCTCAGACGCTCAATTGCGCATGGAAGGGGTGCACGTTCCCAGACGCTCTGCCTGCCGCAGTTCTGTTCAAACATGTGAAGAAGGAGCATTTGGAACCGATCGCATGGAAGCTCGGGGATGGGCCCACGGTGCCTGTAACTGGTGAGAAAGCATCTGCTTGATGATAGCATTCTTTCAGCTTGCGACTAGTTTGATTGTTCGGAGCAATGATTGAAATCTAATTTTGACTTGTGCGATGTAGTGGGAAACGATGCTAGCGGCAGTCCTGGGCCCTTGGCCTTCCCAGACACCGCACAGCCCAACAGTGAAGACTCACTTATAATCCCTGCCAGCGGCAGTTCCATCCGTGCCTTTAACCGAGTGCATGGGAATAATACTCAACAGGAGAGGTCCCGGGAGATCCTCAAGGCAGTCCAGCGACTGAAGGAGCACATTGGAGTCGGACTTGACCCGGGCGGGTGTGAGCTCGCGACCCCGGCGCGGAATGAGCGATTGAACAATGACGAAGATGTCTACGAGGTGGTGCCAGCGACCTAGAAGAACCGTGATCTGTGATACCCTCACTTTTTGTTTTTCGTTGTAGTTTCATCGGTTTCCCATTACACGGCATAGCATTTGACAGCGGGATTGAGCGAGTGTTTTTGAGCGACGGTGTTGTTGTTCGCATTTAGCATGCAGATTCTCCTGGGATGTTACACCTCTGTAAATCATAGCAACATCAACCATGTACCATATAGATAATGGATCCAAATCCGACCAACTGGAAAGAAGATTTGAAAAATAGGGTAGTTATATTGACGACGACCACCGGGGTATCTATTCATCGCCACTGTTCTGTTCTGTTCTGTTCTGTTCCACCACACTTTTGCCATCATCCATTTCCCCCCTTCCTTGTCTGTCTGTTTCCTTTGCGCACGCTCAGGAACAATAGACCATACATTGTAGTATTTGTATCGCAAAGTCGAAAACCAATCCGCATTCCAAGGCGCAAACCCATCAATCAATCGATCAATCAACCGACAAGTATAATAACGACACTGCCCCTGCAATTCCAATACCAAGTCCAAGCCGAATCAAATCAAATCAAATCAAATTCACGCAGTAGTAGTCGAACCAGCCGACGACGACGCGCCCGTAGATTGTTGCTTGCTGCTGCTGCTGTTGTTGTTGTTTTTGACGTCGACCTTTTCGTCATCTTCTTTCTGATTGACCTCGAGGAAGTGGTAGAGAACGATCATCATCATGGCGCAGGAGCCGAGGAAGACGGCCAGACGGTGGAGTTCGTCGTCGGTGATCATTGTGGAGGGTAGTAAGGTATTAGGTTGTTGTTTAGCGCTTCAGGGAGAAATTGAACTGGTTGAATGCGACGAAGAGGTAAGTAATTGGATAAAGTAAGGTACTTTTGTTTTTTTTCTTTGTTGTGTAGTAGTAGTAGTAGTGAAAAGAGAGAGGAAGGGGGAGTGAGTGAGTGTTGTTGGTGCGATGACGGAAGGGAGTGTGATTGCGCGGAAGCCACGTTGATAGTTAGACTATAGTCGGAGATGGAGAACGGAGCTGAGGGAATAGAGAAAACCCGATTGGGGATTGGGGGGTTCGGTCGGTCGAACCATAGAAGAGTGGTCTATGGTTGATGGGATCTTCTTACGGCGAAAGCTTACCTGGTTTGAGGGAAAGTGTAAACAAGATTTTTATAAAGGAGGGGGAAGGAAGAACAGGATAGGAGAATTGGTTGTTAAGTTAGATAGATAGATGAGATAGTTGTTATTTACTTGGTATCCCGTTGGTGTAGATGCAGTACTTGATAATTACGTGCGTAAAGTTACCGGCTCAGTCAGCATCATCACTTCTCCATCATCCATCCATCCATCCTTTCACTACCAACTACCAACTCCAACTCTCTCTTTCTCTCTGGCTATCTATTTATTCTGAATTATCGATCAACTAACTCTGCCACCCACTACTTGTCCAACTTCTCAAGACGGACGATTCTAAATTTTTTCATCTTCTTCCCTTATCCACCACCTCCTTGACACCTGTTCGAGTCTCTTTTTTCCTTTGTTGCAGCTTTCTCTCTGTGTCACATCCGATCGCTGCAGCTCCACCCTCACCGGCCATTGCCAATCGTGAAGCGTGAATGGGTGAGATGCTGGGCGCGCTGCGGCTGTCGGTGGAGACTCGAGCTAAAGAAACGTCTGGCTGGTCTGATCGATCATCCTTCTTCGGCCTGTCAAAAAGGCAAGACTAGGATAATAATTAATGAAGGGAAGAAAAAGTGGTATGTCTCTCTTTTTGGCCTCTACACCTTCTACTGCACTGGTCGTCCTGCATGATTCGTGTCGCCGTTGCGTCTAGTGCTGGTTAACTGGTTAATTCAATATCCCCCCTTCCTGCCAGTCATCGTCCTCGATTTAATCTATTCGGCCTTCTCCGATTGCATCCATCGTCTTTCTTTCCATCCCTGGTTCTTTTTTTTTTTTTTTATAAAAAAAAAAAATTATCTCCTTCTCCTTCTCCTTCCTTCCTCCCTCCCCCCACCCCACCTCAACTTCCCGCCCGCTTTTTTCTTGTGCTTCCATAAAACCTTCCTTTCCGCCGTCACCCCCGCTTGTACCGAACTTCCGCTTGCCGTCTTTCTTTTCCTCTTCTCCTGCTGGGTTTCAACTTGTCTCTAGTCACTCTGAACCCCGCCGGATTCTCCTTTTTCTCTTCCTCTTCTTCTTCTCTGCATGGTGCTGGAATTGCGCAAATGAGACCATCAGCTTATCAATTCTCAGTAACCATTCAGTGAATTGTTCCCGCCTTCAACATGGATCAAGGTCTCCAACAAAATCCGTTTATCTCCGTCAAGGACTCCGGTTCTGCCAAAAATTCGGGCCCGTCGCTGCTTGCCTGTCTGCTGTGTCGACACAAGCACCTAAAATGTGATGGAAAGACTCCTATCTGCGGTCGCTGTTCCGCCACAGGCTCCGAATGTCAATACACCCCGTCGCGTCGCGGGTACAAGGGCCCCTCGAAGAAGCGTCGAGCCAATCCATCCTCCCCCGACCAACTCCCCGCTGACATGTCGACCTCCTTCGAGCCCCAATACTTCAACGTGCCGCCCGACTGGACTCTGTCGAGTAACATGCCCATGTCGTATGCGATGGCAGCCGCCACCACCCCCGTGCCGACTTCCTTGCCCTCCTCTTCCTTACCCTCCGGCAGTCCCGCTCTGACAGATAACTCTGGCTCCTCGCACTCGCAGACGGTCGGTGTCACCAATAGCCCCATGACTCCAGACTCGATCTCTACCATTGCAGGCGATGGCTATCTTATCGACATCTTCTACACCTATTTCCATCCTTCCCACCCGGTCTTGCCGCCCCACCGTGTCCTTTACCGCAACCACGTGCCTGCGTTCCTGGAGCATGTCATCAAATTCATTGGGACCCACTTCACTCCGGCCGCCAACAGTGAGACCTACCGGCCGACGGTCATGTCGTCCGTGATGGACCAGGAAGGGTCCATCGAAAAATTGCAGGCCCTGGTACTCCTCGCCATTGTCTTGCATTCCCGCAATGAGCGGCAGAAGGCGGGCGAGTGCGTGACGACGGCTGTCAATCTGGCCTTCGAGTTGGGATTGAACAAAAGAGACACTGCGCCGCAGCTCAGCTATGGCGACCCGGTGCGGGAAGAGAGCTTGAGGCGCACCTGGTGGGAGCTCTTCATCATTGAAGGCATGCTCACTGCACTGGGTGTTCAGCCAGCTTTCCGGTGCAATTCTGGGCCGCTCGAGGTACCATTGCCCTGTGAAGAGCGTATCTACCAAGATGCCCTCCCACCTCCGCCTGCACTCACGATTGCGCAATTCGACGAGCGTGTCTTTGAAGATGAGGAGCGAGACTTCTCTTCCTTCACTTACCGAATCGAGGCCGTTCGCATCCTGGGACGCGTAGTGGCCATCCAAGCCATGATTGAGGGCCAGCAGGACCAAGTCGAGGCCACTGACGCACGGATTACCAGTTTCTTCCACAACCTGCCCGAGAACAAGGCCGAACTGCTGCGCTCGGACGGGTCCGTCGACGAGATGATGTTCCAAGCGACCATGATTGTCAACGGCTCTGCGATTTACCTCCATTTCCCGCGGTCTGATCTGCTGTCTTCCCCCGCAGTGGCAGCGGAGGTTATTTGCGGCCATCACGGGCCGCTGAGCATTCCCGCCTTCTCGCATCATGCGCATGCCGTGAAGGCGGTCAAGGCAGCCAACCAAATCTCCTCGCTGGCGTCTATTCGCATGCCAGTTGTGAAGCACACGCCCTTCTTCATTTGTTCGCTGGTTCTCAGCTCCATGGTGCAGTTGGCCGCGTGCTCCGTCAAGGCCGGGAAGATGCCCGACCCCAGCCGTGATCGGCTGACGCTTACCATTGGCGTTTTCAAGACTCTGGGACGGACCTGGGCAATTTCGCAAACGATTATGCATCAGATCAAGGCGGTCGCCCGTGATGTGATGGACCTTGGTCTTCGGCCTACCATGCCTGAAATTGATCTGACCACGCTCCTCGACAACAATCGGTTTTGGTAACCCGACCTCCTTCCACTGGCCAGGTAAAGAGGCGGGGCTCTATACTATATGCACATGAACTTTCGGGTTGCTTATTGATCGACCCTTGCACAAGCCCCTTCTACTTTCCTGTCGATATTTACCTACCATGGCAATGATACCCCTCCCCGACTGATAATGATTGCTTGTCCAAAAAGAAGATACTGAAATGATGCCAACGAGTTGATTTCGTTGATCCGCTGGGGATCCCATGCGCTTAGGGGTTTGTTATTTATTTCACTTTTCTTTATCTATGTTTGAAAATAAGAATAAGCTATATTTTTGCCGATCTACCGGCTATACTGTTTTGATATTGCTTGAAATGACTTAACGAAAGAACTACTTCGGCTGGTAGCAGCTATTCCCATCAGCTTCAATGGCGAGTTCTGTACAATGCTCAGGGTGAACCATTTCCAATAGTGATATGTTTTGAGGTATGTAGGAATCTATAGTGGTGAACTTCTTGCATAATATCATTGATAAGATTGGTCATAATGGTGATATCAGTTTTAGTGTTTGAAACTCAGAATGCTCACAGACCTCTCGATGTATACTAGTATTTTATCCAGTCGAACACGTGCCATGCTTTCTGTAAGTTTTCTTATGGTATTTCTAAGAACTTAGAAAAAGAATGCAAGAAAACAACAACATATAATTTCCAACGCTGCGCTAGTAACATTGAACTAATTCGTTACACTAATGAAGTTCAGTACACTCATTCGTATCATGACCGGGAAAAAAAAAAAAATGAAATTGGTGGTGCTGGTCTATAAGGGCATAGTTGGCATGGGTGCGGCAAAAATAATATCGATAAAGATACATATCACAAAATAACACAATGTGGTATCATGCAATGATGGAGTTGCAGATAAGGACAACATCTTGGGAAAGAAGAAAAAAAATCGTTATTTTATATCATGCTTATTTCTTCTTATTCTTCCTCTTGTTGTTATTGTTTTTCCTCTCTCACGACTTAGTCTGATTCTCAGTGGGGGACTTCTTCTTCTAACTATCCCCTGACGAGGTCGGGCGGCCTCGCGTGAATTCCTGCATCTCGCGGAGAGCTTCCGCACGACGGGCGACCACGTCTTCGCGCCGGACGACGTTCCGGAGGGCTTCGCTGGCTTGGATGAGGCCGTCGATGCTGATGGCGTGGTTGGTCATTTGGTGGTTGATGTAGGTGTAGAGTTCGGCTGGGGTGGAGCAGGTGGTGAGGAGTTGTTGCTCATTGAGTTTGAGGAGGGCGAGAGCTACTTGGAATAGGAAGGTGCTGCCGCCTCCGTTGCCGCTGGCGCTGGGGTCAGAGTCGGTGGGGTCGGTTGTAGTGGTGGAAGAAGGGGCATTGGCTGTGCCGTTGGCGGGAGGATTGTTGACGGCGCTGGTGACATTCAGACAGAGGACTACGTCCCAGACGCGGTAGAGGGCTTCGGCTGAGAGGCAGTCGGTGAAGACGGAGAGGAACCATTGGAATGTTAGTGCCTCGAGTTCGACGCCCAGACTCTCGAGATGGGCGGACAGCTTGGGCAGGATTTCGGCGATGTACTGGCGCAGTACTACCTGATCGGCCCGGGAGGCGAGCAAGCCATGGTCGTAGTAGTGTTCGGGAAGGATCACCTCGATCATGGAGGTGAGGAGCCAGAAGGCGTCTTCAGCGGTGGGAGTGATAAGCAGGAGAGATGCGGCGATGAGGTTCATCCCCTGGCAGTAGCCGACCTCCGGGTTGCGACGAGAGTAGGCCAGGAGCACCTCCTTGAGCTTGGTAACGCCTGGTCCTCGGCGGAAGAATACATTGTCGGTCAAAGTCCGGTTAATGTCCATGTCAATCTGGGCGACGACCGACGAGTCGGGCTCAGAGCCGCCGGTGCCCTTTACTAGGTCATCGTAGTAACCAGGTACCCGCATCGAAGAAGCGCCACTGCATTCGGACCAGACCTTTGCCCGCAGGGCAACTGGGATTCCTCCCAACACGAGGACCCGGAACTCGCGCCATTTGGCACGGCCGACTTTGCCCTTGTTACCTAGGCCAGAAATACCGACCACTTCGCCATCGGCCAGCGATGCCTCGGGCATATCGACAGACTGCACTGCCCGGTCGGAGGTGGCGGCGGCTGCTGCGGCAGCTTCGCCGTCTTTTCTGCGCTCTGCACG